GAAAATAAATCTGACTATTTTCTAAAAAGGAAAATGTGACTTTCTTTTCAGTCATCTCTTCTGAGAGTAGTTAAAGCCAGGCTACAAATAAAATACAGTCATAATATTGACTATATAAAAATGTCTTAAGACAAGATGCTAAAAATTGTCCATTTGAGTTTTTATTTTTTGTATTAGAGTTCTCATAAAATTACTACTTCATTCTTCAAACATTATGACTTCAATCCGATAATACTGACATTTTTCCCATATTATTTTTACTTTATTCTCATATTACTGTGACTTTCTTTTTGTAACATCATGACTTTATTCTTGTAATAAAAAAATCAATTTATTGAAGTACAGAAGTGGATTTAATAATCAACAATTTTGGATTTTGCCTGTCTCCTTCAGGTCAGGCGCTTGCTTGGTGACTTTGGAGTTCCCATTGCAATTTTTCTCATGATTGTTGTGGACTATAACATTGAAGATACCTACACTCAGGTTGGCCTTTTATTTCAAAGCATCCATGGTAAATTTGAAAAGACAGTAAACCTCTAATGTCCTGAACTGACAATATTTTTACTTCTGATGTGCAGAAACTGGTTGTTCCTAAAGGCCTGATGGTGTCTAATCCGGCCAAAAGAGGCTGGCTTATCAATCCCTTTGGGGAGCACAAATCTTTTCCCGTCTGGCTGATGTTTGCATCCTGCGTTCCTGCTCTGCTTGTCTTCATTCTCATTTTCTTGGAGTCTCAGATCACTACGTGAGTTACAGTGTCCTGCAAAAACAGATATATCTATTGACTTTTTCTATATTTTGTTACAGCCACAAGCTTTAACAAAATATAGAGGTAATTTTAAGGTAATTTGTTCAGATTTTATGTGACAGAGCAACACAGAGAAGTTTGAGATAAATGTTTTCTTTTTCACATGTTTCTGATGGCAAATAAAGTATTTTCTGCCCTTTTTTCTCTAAACCACCCTGGTAACTTTGAAGGAGCTCAGGGAGAATCTGTCAACATGACAACTATGAACCATGCCATCCATAAATTTGGTGAAAAGAAATCTACTCCCAAAGAAAAGCCAATAGTACTCCGATTTACATTTGCCACAATGAAGAGGGTAAACATCATCTACAAAATTATGTTATCATTGATTCTGATCAAACAGGTGTTTCTGGCCTATATGCCAAAACGCTGTTTTGAAAAACTAACACTGACCATTATACTGAATGCATCTTCACTGCAGAAGAACATGGAGGCATTAGCATCATGCTTTGAGGAATATTTTTAGCTTCTCAGAGTTCAATGCACAATGGATGGCTGGACAAAAACCTGTGAAGAGCTGAATAAACCCCAATGTAGTTTGTGTTGTTCTGCCACTTAAAATCCAAACAAAATATCTTGACACTTGGGGTTATGAAGTGTCAAACTGTGGAAAGGTTTTGTGATTTCCCTCTAGATCTTTAGCACCAGAGAATGTGGCCTTTCTTTACCTTTATTTATCCCTCCTGTCTTTGAGCAGTCTGATCATCAGTAAACCTGAGCGGAAGATGGCCAAAGGCTCCGGGTTCCACTCTGACTTGCTGATAATGGTTGGCATGGGCGGACTCAGCGCCATATTTGGTGTGCCTTGGCTGAGCGCTGCCACGGTCAGATCTGTGACCCATGCCAACGCTCTCACAGTCATGAGCAAAGGAACAAAACCCAAGATAGAGAGAGTAGTGGAGCAGCGAATCAGCGGCATTGTGGTAGCTCTGCTTGTTGGTAGGCCCTGCTTATTGTCTTCTTCTCATGCATTGATTTCTGGAAACGGAGATTCTTTTATGACAAAAATATCCTTGTACATCCAGGTTTATCAATTCTAATGGAGCCAATCCTAAAGTTGATTCCCATGTCAGCTTTGTTTGGGATCTTCCTCTACATGGGAGTGACGTCACTGAATGGTATCCAGCTTTGGGATCGCATGCTGCTTCTCCTCATTCCAAAGAAATACCATCCAGATGAACCTTACGCCACCAGAGTAAGAGTTCTCTCATTTTCACAGGAGCTGAAAAGCATAACACAGAAAAGAAGCGTATCAAAAAACATGTAGATTCAATATGTAGGTAATTATACGTAGCGATTTTATCAATAGTTTTTTTTTCATACAACGTCGGCCTTCTACCACCTGAAGAACATTTTCAGGAATAGATGACTAATGTCTGAGCAAGATCTAGAGAAACTCATCCCTGTGTTTATCGTTAGTCACATTGATTATTGCAACAGTGTCTTCACAGGTCTGGCTAAAAAAAATCCTCCAGCCGCAGCTGATCCAGAAATCTGCTGCTCAAGTTCTGACTAAAACAAGGAAGCTAGAACACATCACCCCAGTTTTAATGTCCTTACACTGAGAGAATAAACTTTAATATACTGTTGTTAGTTTATAAATCACCCGTTTAAAGATCTGCTGCTGTTGTATGAACCTTCCTGACCTCTTTGGTCTTCTCTGGTCTGGTCTGCTCTGCAGAACCAGAACCGGAGCAAACATGGGGAAGCAGCTTTCAGCTTCTATGCACCACAAATCTGGAACAATCTTCCTGACAATTGTAAAACAACCAAAATACTGAGTTCCTTTAAATCTGGACTAAAAACTCCCATGGTTAGCATTGCTTTTGAACCATAAGTGAAACATTACATAACTTAATAAAATGTTGTTTCTATTGTTTATGATTTTGTATTTTTGTGTTTTTATGATGTAAAGCACTTTGAACAGCCAAGTTGTTGAAATATGCTATACAGATAAACTTGATTGGTTGATTGACTGACTGATTGATCATATTGAAAACCTGATTTGCTTGACTGATATTTGTGTATGTTTGACACAGGTAAGCACAGGACGAATGCACCTGTATACGGCCATCCAGGTAGTTTGCCTCGGCATCCTGTGGCTCGTAAAATCCAGCCCGATATCCCTTGCTCTTCCCTTCGTTCTCATCCTCACCATCCCTCTACGAACGGTCATGACTGGACGTCTCTTCACCGAACTGGAAATGAAATGTGTAAGCGTCTTCTCATTATTTAATGTGAAAAATTGCTCTGTTGCATGCATAAATCCCATATTTTGTGTTTGTTTTAGCTGGATGCTGATGACGCCAAGGTGATGTTTGAGGAGGAGCCTGGACAGGATGTGTACTGTGAATCTCAGATGCCTTTGTAGACATCTGAAATAATGGCTGCTGACACTTTTTTTTATCCTAAAAGAACTGCATAGTTATTTTATTTTAGGTTCAAGTGAATTTTCAATTCCTTGATACGCAAGTTATTTAATATTTATTTACTGTATCATGATAAATGAAGATGCAGATTATATTTATTGAGGGTGATTACTGACAGCTTTAGCATTTTCTGGAAAGCCCCTTAGTTTAGATATTCTTAGAAAAATTTTTTGCTTATGCATTTTCAAAGCTAAGCATTTTATGATTTCTGTATTTTTACAAAAAAATAAAAAAGCTTGTGAAAAAAAAGGCTCAAATGTATTTTCATGGCTGACTATCACAAAACAACTGTTAACATGCTCTCCATAAAATATAATTCATCTTTGATGCACTGATATTGTCAGGGGCTTCCTGGACGAGCCCCCAAAATATTGATAATTTGAAATTCAAAACTGAGAAAAGAAAAGCAAGCTTGACTGATTATTGAAATTTGAATGTAAATGGAGAAGAAAGCACTGACTGAGGAAGACTTGATCTAATTTTAGCTTCTCACACTAGAAAGTATAGCACATCTGCATTTTACACAATATTTTTATGGAATGCATGTGAACTGAACGTTAGTTGGTCCATGACAAACAGAGGAGCGTTTTACAAGTAATTTAAAAAAAAAAGAGAAGATGTACTTTTAAAATGATTGCATTCGCAGCCAAACTTGTATGTCTTTTCTGTGCAACTACACAGAATATAATATTAGAACAATTTGCTTACTCAAAGTCAAATTCTGATTAAAAGGTTTTGTCATTTATATGCTACTTGTGCAGCAAAATTCACGTATGCTTTAACATAGGACAACAGTGGTCTTTTGCAATGCAAAAGATGGCGGTTTTTGTGTTTTTAAACACTTTTTTGCTTGCAGTTGCTATCTTTTTGACTTCTCAAATGTAAATGTTAAAGGAAAATGTATTAATTCTATGTCTTGTTGGTTAGCCTTTTGTTGGAGTTACAGGTACATCACATCCAATCTATTTATCACTGAATTTAGAAAAAAATCCAACACATGACTCCTTCATTATAAAAGTTAAAGGGTTGCAAAAGGATCTGTTATATTTCTATTGCATTACTGTAACGGAATCACAAGCAGAAAGCCAACCCTGAAGTTGTTCGAAGTTATAATAAGAAAATGTGCTTTTTACACCAGTGCTACAACACAAAATGTGTGCTTTATGTTAATTGTTTTAAAATGTTTTTTAAAAGGTAGTCATCCTAAGGAAGAGACGCATTAAAAACCGTGAGGTCACCAGCTGATTGTCAAAACAGACACACACACTTACTGGAAAAAAAACAAATTGTCGTCCAGGTCAGATCTAATAGAGTAATAGATTAAATTCAGGGCAATATTTGTTTTTTCCCACCTTCAATTTCATGCAAGGCAGATTAGGTCTCCGAATACATTTTAACTTCCTTTTTAAAAGTACAAAATGTATACAAAATAAGTTTTCAGTACTTTACATATGTGGATGTGAAACTTTCACAAGAATAAAAAGTGGTTGATTAAAAAAAAGCAAGTTTCATGTTGTTTTCTAATGCTGCCAGATTCTACCACTTTAAACGCAACATTCTCATTTAATGTCTTTTCCCGTTGCTTAGCGACGTTTCTATAGTCTCGTTCCTGATTGGCTGTTTCCTCTGAAAGGCTCCGCCTTCATGGACGCTCATACGGAAGTTCCATTAAACATGCAGCATCCCGGTCCAAACTCCACTCCAGTAGATGGCAGTAATGCACATCAATACGTTGCTTGCTAACCGAAGAAGAAGAGGAAACAGGAAAAAGTTGTATTTAAACAGAAACACTCGCCATGTGGTTTCTACAGACTTTAAATGCGTTTCAGGTCGCTACTTTTGCGACAGTTTGAATGAATGACGAGACGGTTGTTATTTCCCTGCTGGTTTTCTGGCGATAACCGGAAATAGAGCGGAAAAAGTTGTGAATCCTTCAGGTTTGTTTCTCACATTTTCAACGTTTTTCGCTTGAATTTTTAAAATGAGCGAAGCGGTAATTGAAGATGGCGAATCAGGTGAGTACGGCTAACTGAAGCTTCTTTCTTTCTGCTGCCGCCTCAATAATTTAGCAGATTATTCAACCGTTTTCTGTGCGAAGGGGCTGAATCTGCTGGATGGACGCAGGGAAACCTCCAGAAGCTCATTGCTTCTCTGAAGGACACCCTCCCAGAGAACGACAAAACGCAGAATTATATCCGAGGGTTGAAAGCTGTAGACTGGGATAAAGTTGCATTCCCCCCATTTTCTGCAGGTGAATGCAAGGAGAAATGGAACAGCTTCATGGAGAAGGTGAGCAGTGTACATGTTTATTTAGATGCTGGATTTTCTGCAGAGTACACAAACTTTTTACTCAAATAAGAGTAGCAGTACTTCAACATATTTTTTGCTGAAATAAAAGTAAATAGTAATAATCCGAGAAACTATTCAAGGAAGAGTAAAAATGTATTTGGTAAACAGGCTTCTCAAGTACTGAGTAACTGATCAAATATTCAATAATTTAATGTTTAAAAATTGCATCAAAAGACAAAATATAAAGTGGAATTTTTTTTGTATTTTAAGGAGGAAAATGACAATAATTTCTATAAGTAATATAAAGAAAATTTATCCAAATCTTATGGAGCTTTAACGGGAACTGCAGGTGAATTTTTGGTTAAAACGTGTTTGTTTTTCATTCAGTGTGTCGAGAATCCAGATTTTACTTAAGTAAAAGTAACGATACTTTATGATAAAATTACTCAAAAGTAAAAAATAAAGCGTTGTAAAAGAAATCCTCCTAAAAGGCCTATTTTTTCAAAGCAAATCACTCAACATATTGTACTGGAGTAAATGTTAGTAGTTAGTGTCCATCCACCCCTGGTAGTGATTCCTTCACGACTTGAAATGGTATAAAATTTGATTAAAGTATCTGTTTGGATATATAGAAAAAGTAGGACAATGTGGAAAGATATTTATGTTTTAGTTGTTCTCTTTACTGTTGTCTAAATGTTGGATTCATTCATCCATTCATTCATTAGATGCATAGATTAAGCACATCTGTATTATTTTGTTATATTTACCTGTATGAAGTGGAAATACTTCAGATTCTGAACTAGTGCCAAGATAAATCAGCCTAACTTTCTCACAGTCAAACCTCCTTTTATTGAAACAGTCAAAAATTGTAAAATAAGCAAAGTGTGACAGTGTGCTGCTGAAGATTTGAATGTGGCATATCTGATCCTCTCTCTATTATCGCTGTTCCTCAGATGCGCAGATTTCGCAGCCTTCCTGAGCTCCTTGATGAAGCTGAAGAATTGCTTTCAACCCCCTCCTGTAAAAAAAATGTAAGTGATCAACCTTCAAACTTGTGTGACTGTATTGAAGTTTGGTACTATTTAGTAAAAATGTTCCCAGGATGATAATATGTCCTTGTTTTTGTAAATGTGTGGTTTATTTTTCTTGCAGATTCACCCAGACCTCCCAAAACCACCTTATCCTCCGAAAGGGGCTTATATTCAGAAGAATATGTCCAAGTATGCGAGGGAAAATCCAGGGGTGAACGCAGCGTTAATCACAAAGGCCCTTTCCGAGGAGTATGAAAAACTCTCAGACGAATATAAAGTAGGTTGTCTGTCGTGAGCCAGTTTGTAAAACAGTACTTGACATCTCAAAGAACTGACATTTTAAAGACTATTTTTTTATATCTTTAGGCTGAAGATGCAAAGAAGTACCTCATTGCATGTGAAGAATACAACAGAAAGATACGGAGCTTTTGGTAGAAAAGCAACTTTGGTTTTCTCATTTGATTTGGAAAAATTGCCGGTCTAAACTTAATGTAAAGCAAGTTCTTTTGTCGTTTAGCAAAGACAACAATCTGCGTCTTCCTCCTTCTAAGAGGGCCAAAAAAAGGAAAAGGATCGTCCTTGAAGGTGTGAGTGATTTTTCTCTTTCTCAGGAAATGCTGCTTGTTGCTCACATGGTTATCAGGTTTAAACTGTCCTACTCTGTTCTGCTTTGATTAACAGTAAATATTGGTTAATGGTTCCTCCATTCTAGGAAAGAATAATTTTTATCACATTCTAAATCTATTTAAGTATGAGTGGAAAAGATAGTATGAAAAAATGTGTTGCTTTTGGAAATTATCCCTTATTCTTATACTTAAAAGAAGAAAAAAAAACCCTGAATTTTAAAAACGTTTTCAAATGGCAAGACTGATTAATATTTAAGTTACGTTAATATTTTTGACAAACGTATTAATCCTTTCAAGTGTTGTTTTATCAAGTTGTGTTTACTTTTACCTTTTTTTTTTTTTTTTTTACATTTCTTGATAATTAGGATATCATCATATTTGTTAAAGAAAAACTGGGCAAAAAGATAAACGGGGCAGGAAAAACAGACTGAAAGAAGAATAAATTCTGTTTTGGGGTTTCTAGTTTAAGAGTTTTTGTATGTTAGAGATAAACAGTAACGTGTTAAGAAGAAAATTTAAAAATACTGCACTATTTTGTACTGAAAAATGTGTAGAATCATTGTTAGTGGTTAAGTATCTGTTACTTTTTTATTAATTTGCAGGGAGGTAAAGGCTGCGGAAAATACAAAGGTCTTCCTGAGAAACCACCTGGGTAAGTAAGACTCACTGTCCACCGCTTTGTTCTTTCATTTTATTACAAGTAAACTGTCTTTATTGTGACATTTTTTTCAACTCTCATTGCTCAACAACTTTAAATCAATCCATCGATGATTATTGCAATCACATTTAAAATACAATCGTAAAAAAAAATCTGAAGTGACCATACCTGCATGAATTCACTGTATAAAAATCCTTTAGATAAAGTGAGAAGGTTTAGTTGTGAGAAATTTTATTTGGAAATGTTTTTCTTCTTGGATTTATTATTTTGTGATAATTTCTCTTTATGATTTCTTTTATTCTTGAAAATACTTGTAGTTTCTTTGCACACATTCTCACTCAGTATGTGTGCAAACCATTGTGAGCTCAATGGTGGTGAACTTGGGAATGCTTTTCTTTCTTTTTTACCAAATACTTTTTAAATTTTACTTGAGTATATATATTTTTTATTAATACTTTATAGTTCAACTTGAGTATATTTTTGGTTTCTCTTCCCACCTCTCTTCAATAGTCTTTTTTTTCTCTGCAACACAAAGTAGTAAAGCTATTTTAGCCTAATGAAGGTAGGAAAAAAACCTAATCAAATTCAAACCACAATTAGATATTTTGAGTCTTTTTCACTTTGTGATGGATTTTTATTTATTTATTTTTTAGATTTTACAATTTGATCATTATGTTGTTTTTTTCTGTATTTTCAGGCATGGATATGCTCTGTTCCTCGTAGAACACTCTCAACCAGGCAAAGCAGGCGAGACTTCACATGGAGCCAGTTTTGTTCGGGTTATGAGTCAACGCTGGAAAGAATTGAGTGAAAATGAGAAACAGAAGTACAATAAACGTTGTGCAGAGGTATTAACAACATAAATTGTCCAACAAGAAAAGGATGACATCTTTTCTTACCTCAAGTTTAAGCACAGTTTGTTATTTCAGATGAAGAGAAAATACGAAGCCAAGCTGATGAAATATCTGGATGTAAGTAAGGTTGAGAGTTTTCAACTGCAATATATATATATATATTTTTTGAGGGGCGTGTTTAACTCCCCAAGCATTTCCGCAGCTTAACTTGTAAGATCTGCTTTGTCGTCACGGAAACAGTCAGTTGTTTGTGCTTTGTTTTTATGTTCTTCAGAAGTTAAATGAGGAGGAGAAGAAGAAGATTATCGAGGAAAAAGGGATAAAAATCCCGAAGAATATACCGGTAAGCTTTCATTTTGTACTTTTTCTCGGATGTTTGAAACTCACAGATGTGGTGACTGCGGTTGTGAGCTCAATGGTGTTGAAGTGATGACATTCAAACCCAGCAAACATTTCTGAGGCGCATCAAAAAACCCATGTTCTCCTTAACAATTTAATGTTTAACCTACCGACAAACATTGTGTGTGCGCATCTTTTTCTTTTTTTTTTCTTTTTTTTATGTTTGAACATCTGAACTTGCAATTCAAAACTACTGGCTGTCAAAACAGTTGGGCGGAGTTACTTAAGTGCTACCAGATGTTTAATTAACACCTTGTGGTGCTTTAATGTTTCAGTGTTCCTATTAAATGTTTGTTGGCATTTATTAAACATGTAGTTGCGCTAATAAACGCCATGTGGCACTTTCAACTGTGTTCAGGAGATGTCAGGGTATGCTGGAAAGTGCCAAGTTAAAGACCAAAATGGCTTGCCGTAGAGTTCTCCTTGCCTCTTGTGATCAATGTTGTGCAGAATCACCTCGTATGAGAAATACGTCAAAGTTCTGTTCTGTTCAGGTCTAAATCTGAATTAATTTATGTTCACATTTCACCACCAAAGCTTTCTGAATTGAGTTTAAGGACTCAGCATTTGTTAATTGACTTTTATTATTATTATAATATGCTAATTGAAATTAGCTTATCATTTAATTTGTAACCTGGGGTTTTCCCGGGGTTTAATTCTCTCCTGTTAACTTTATTTACATAAACTTGTACCTCAAAACACAGTTCAGAGCCCCCTCCCCCACGTCTTCTCCACTCAGCTCCTCCAGACTAGCGGCAGCAGCAATTGGTGGACAGCTGGTGGAACTGCACATCTGCAGGACTTGCATGAACTATTTCTCAGTCCATCGCTCCAAAAAACTTTTGAAAACAGCATAACAGATAAATGCTGTTGCGATGACATCCTGAAGGTGGAGTGGCAGAATCAGAAGGAGCTTCTTAAAGAGTCAGGCACCTAATTTCAAGGCCTCATTCTGAGAATTTCCTCTAAAATTTTGCGTGTTTATTTCACTGTAGGACCAATACGTGATACAACCGGGTGAGCCGAAGATGCCCTCCCAGTGAGTATATAAAATGCTGTTAAAAAAAAAATCTGTTAAATGTATCATGATTGTAGTTGTTTTCTCCAACGGTGACACATCAACTTATTAGATTTTGGAAATAAAGTTTCACTTATTTCAATCAAAACTGACATTTAAAATTAACCTTTTCTTTGCACAGGTTATGTTTCTCAGTTTTCTGATTATCTGAAACATTTAAGTATAATTAAAAGCAAAACCACATTGTGAAACCAAAATAATATTTTTTCTCAAAATCCAACCTGAAATCTTTGCATTTTTTCCCTTCAGATCTGGGTTTCTATATTTTCGCTCAGATATGTTGAAACATGCCGGGAAATCTATGCCAAGAAAAGAGTGCATGGAAATGGCCCAGAAAGAATGGCACGAGCTCTCAGACATGAAGAAGACTCGATATGCTGAAATAATTCAGGAAAATATGAAAAAATACACAGAAGAGCTGCAAGCGTGGTTCCAGGTATTCATCAAGTCATTCCTTTTAACTTCACTGTTTGAAATTTCGGCTGGAAGTTAAAATTGTTCTGCATTATTTGCGTAGACGCTGACTCAAAAGGATCAGAGGGTTTACTTGAAGAAAAAACCCAATGTAAGTTCTTTTAATGCATTTTTTTTATTTCTAGATACCTGAAAGAAAGTTTTTAATCATATCACCTTCTGTTTTAAAGAAGGCTATTTTTCTCCAGAAATATATAGACGAGTCTCCTAACCTCGCTTCAGTAAGTATAAATATGATGATGGCACAATTTTGATTTGCTTCTAAAATATGCTCACACCTTCAACTTTTTAATGCACAGAAACATAAAGCTGATCTGAAATGCATTTGGCAGCAATTGATTAATTTTATGAAAATGAAAATAGATGACTGGAATACACAGATAAAAAAATGAATGTATGTTCAGTTTTTGTTTGTTTTTGACACACAGGACTCAGAGGAAGAGAAGACGAGTAGAAAAAAAAAAGGAAGAAGAAAGAAGAGGAAATTATGAGGAGCAAGGTTGTTTACTTTATACCCTGCATAAAACACATGGCCATCTGTTTCTCTCCATCTGACATTAAATCACATGAAACTCTCAAACTTTTAGGTCAGATAGTTTTCTCCAAATTATTTCTGTTTGCTAAATGCCACTAAGTTTAACTACATTTCTTTTTATATTTGATAGAATTCCATTTTGAACCTAAAATGTCAAACATTTTCCACAAGCTTCTCAAAATAAATGATTTTCTTTTAGGCTTTGAATAGCTTTCCAACTTTTTTACTTGCTGATTATAGCTAAATACTTCCAGTCTAATTTCATTAGACCAGACAACGTGTCTCCAATAATCAGGTTCTTGTCTCTTACGCAGTACCATCAGTGTTTTGCAATTCTGTGATTGCAGAAATTTCTGAAAATAAACAGATCTCAGAATTTATTTATTTTTTGTTCTAATGTATGAAATTTTCTGAAAGAAAAAAACGTTGGGTTTAAGTGACTATTTACTCCCATCTGCAGGTTATTTCAAGTCACATAATCATACTTTATTCTTTTTTACATTTACATTACAAAATTACAAAATCACTGTAATTTTGATTCCAAAAAGAATAAAATTGCAAAACAATTTTGAATCCTTCAGCTTTAATTCTAGTCGTCGTAAAGGATTGATTGTAAATATTTTTGATGTAAAAAAAAATACATTTAAAATCTATCTTATTGGTACGTTTTGCATCAATTTATTAATTATGTTTTTATCATCAGGTTGACAGCAAAACTAGAAAGGATGGAAACACGTTCGAGGCGAATTGTTGATCACAAATCCAGATGGAGGATTCTCAAACAACTGGTTTCTACGATGGAAGAAACGCCACCCAGGAGTGCTGAGAGGTGGTGCTGTTAACTTTCTGCAGGGTGGAAGATGCAGAGCTGAAGTTCATGCACCTAAAAAAAAAATCCAAATAATGCCACACAGAAATCTTTGGCTTGGACTTTGCTTATAATGTTTCCAACTACTGGATATAAGAATGCTTACATATTTTCATGTCATTCATAAGGAATTTTTTTTTTTTAATTTAAATTGTATAAAGTTAGAGAAGTAGCTTTAATGAAGCCAAATTTTTTTCTGTTTAGGTGTTCAAATGTTACAGATTTGTTTGTTGCTGCTTTATGATCCAGCAAATATGTGCCAATAAAATAAAATATTTATGTTGCTTTTTTATTATCTTGGCTTTCATCTAATTAAATTAGATTATCAATGTTGGTGTGGTTGGTACTTTTAAATTGATAAATGAGCCTTATCTGAACTCGTACGTTATTGGATTTGACTGCAGAGCCTATCCTCTAATTGGTGACAAAGTGAATAACATACAGATGTACATAAAAAAAACAATCATGAAAAAAGAACTACAGTAATACAAAATATATTTGTGTAACACAAGAAAACTAAAGTTATCGAGAAATAGATGCAGTCTAGGGAATTTGTAAATGATTACACAAAATTTATATTTTCAAGTTATAAAGTTTCAGTTTTCATTTAGAGTATGACATGCAACCTGTGAACATTTATTTTAAAATATTAAACTGGTTTTCAATATAATCCAGTTAGTCATTTTAATTTCACGTGGCTTTTCGCTGTCCGGGCCAGTAGGGGGCGACTACCTGACATTCTTCAAGCTGCACTACTCTTCTATTATTGGCTGGTGTTTCCACTGCTCAAGTGACGTTTCTTAGTTCTCCTCTCTGATTGGACGTCCTAATCAGACTTCCGTCCATTAGCACAGACCGATGTTTAGCTGATGTTTCAAACTTGGCCAACGTGATGTGTTTGTTAGTTTTTGTAAAGGCTGTTTTAGGTTGATATGACAATCTAATTTTTGAAGTTTGCTTCTAGGTTTTATGTTTTAACTACTGCCTGTTACTTCGACTCATTTAAAAGTCTTGAAAAGACGTTTTTGTTAAATAAAATGAGTGACAGTGAAATGGACGGTGCAGAGGCTGGTGGGTATAATGAAAACTGACCTAACGAAAACTTGCTGCTGGTACATTGAGGTTAAGTGAGTATGTTCTGTGTAAATGTGCTGTAGTATGGACCACCGCAGACCTCCTGAAGCTTGTTGGCCGTATTAGGAGCAACACCCCAAAAAGTGAGAAAACGACGAGTTATCAGATGGGACTGTTGTCTGTGAACTGGGACAGAACAGCATTTCCTCCCTATTCTGCAAAGGAATGCCACGACAAGTGGCAAAAGGTGATCAAAAAGGTGAGCTCTCCTCTAAGCTTGGTGCTGTTTGTTCTCTGATGTCGTCATAGAACAGCTGAGATTCAATCACTCGTGTTTTTCCTATCACTTAATTGATTTGCACTACTTTGTGTTGGTCTATCATGCAAAATCCCTGTGGAAAACTCTGCCGATTGAGGTTGCATTGTGACAAAATGTGGAAACTTTGGTAGGAAGTGTGATACATTTGTTATTGTTGCTTAGATGCGCAAATTTCGGAGCCTGTCGGACCTCGTTGCCGAAGCTGAAGTGGTGGTTTCCAAGCCTCTCCTCCACAGATGGGTAAATACCTAATGAGTACATACATGGAGTCTACTTGCATTTTGTTTTAACGCGACATTTGAATAAAATGTTTCTGTTCTAATTGTTGATTTCTTGCTTTTGTACAACACCTTGGTCAGCATCTGTTGTTCATATACTTTTTTTATGTAAATAAAATGATTTGAAGTTACAAGAAAAAGCTTTTAATAAGATTGGTCACACTTTGATTTAAAATCTCACTTGAGAGATCATCTATTACTTACTCACTTCAAATACCAATTCCTATATTGTCTTGAAAATCTATAGCCAAATAGAACTGCCTTCAGAATGTTAACGGTTTATTTTTGTGTTATAGCTGATTCTACATGGTTTAATCCCAGGAATGCAACTCCAATCCTCAAGTGCCACTTTAGTTCAACTTTTGGATGCATCTCTGCTCTAACACGCCTGAATCAAAAGCCTGATTGACCTCCTTGGTGTATCTCTATCGTTAATTAATATTGCAAGTAGTGGTGCATCAATTGCAGTTTTCCAGACGATCTCTGAACTTTAACTAAACCTGCTAATTCGGATTTTGGACAATGGCGATTTGTTTTTTCCCCTCTCTTTTGTTTGTTTAAATCATATGAAAAGTTGCTAAATATAGCAATGAAGTTGCCAAGTTAGCGACAGTAGAGTGACTGTTGTTATAGGTGCAGGTTCAAAGTGTTTGCTGGATGATAAAATGTCTCAGTAATTATTGCAATAATTGATAATTTTGTTGTTTTGAGACCATTTTCAAGTAATCTATTGATAATGGCCCTCCCAGTGATCGATAAACTTTAATTTAACACTGGAACTAAATTATGTTTGAATATCCAAACTAAACCATAACAAACCAATAAATTAAATGAAAATGAAAACCACACACAACTGAAACCATAAATATTTCTGTAAATAATTTCCCTTCAAAATAAATAATCAGAATGAAAATGATGAAACTCATTTTAAGTCATTATGCAATTAATTGCTTATTGCAACAAGAATGTAGAGGTATTTTTTCCTCGCACACCAAAAAGGAACAGTTGGTAAAAAAAAATTTTTTTAGGTTTCACTTGTAATTATCGGCTGATGATGCACAATGAAGAAAATTGGGGACAATTTATCAGTGCACCTCAAGTTGCAAGATTGTGAAATCCCGGAAATCAGAACTGAACAGAATTAAATGTTGTTCTAATTAGAGCTTTCATATAAAACAGTGCAGTCAAGTTAAGCTTTTTGAGCCAATTGGTAAAACGGTTCAATTCTACCCAGGGAGTGTAAGTCATTGACTTTCCCTCCTCCTGATCAGAATTGGCTCGAATATGATTACCTGAACAAAAAACTCAATAACACTTTGTGATCATTTGTCTTAATTTCTATTTCATTTTTCTCACAGACCCACCCACACTTCCCAAAATTCCCCGGTCCTCCAAAAATAAACCACCTGCAGAAGAACTTTTCCAGGTTAAAAAACAAACACCCAGAGCTGTCGATGACAGAGATTGTGTTGATGGCACACAAGAAGTACGATGAGCTACCAGATGAAAAGAAGGTTGGTAGTCTGTGAGAAGTAGCTATATACATGAATACTCATTAATAAGAGTGACTTGAAAGTTGACAGATTTGTCTTTTTATTGCAGGATGAATATAAAAAGAGGTGTGCCGATAGACGTATGAAGTATTGGAAAGAGTTCAACAGTTTTTGGTACAAAACTCCCCTCTATGCAGGCATGATTTAACAAAGCAGTTGATCTAAATTTATATTGTAAAATTTGTTTGTGTGCTCTTTTTCAGTAAAGACAACAATCTACCTGGTACTCGAAAATCTAGACAGGAAAAACTCTCTGCAATTGTAAGTCTTCCATCCTGCCTTGTCTCAGCATGCTGTTTGCTCGATTTGCTGGGTGAGAAACATTTCACCCATGTTTGACCGCTCTTATATAAATCTGTTACTTTTCTCTGTAGGATGGCCTGCCTGTGAAGCCACCCCTGTAAGAGATTGTTTTTGTCACGTTTTTTACTTTAGTTAGTAAAATGACAATCTTTTAAAGTGGTTTATTTTGTTGCTCATGTTTTCACATTTTTAACTTAAGCTATCAAGGTGAAAAGAATTTGAGTAACTTATTACTTTTCATAAAAGTAATAAGTAAAGATTGTCTGTCTGAAAAGGCCTTTAAAAGTCTCATTTAGTTTTATGAGACTTGCAGAAATAACTCCTGTTAGCATGACTGCACTGAAAATCTCTCCATCATTCACCAAACTGAGATTGCAGATTTTTACTTGTCTAACCACCTCTTAAAATGAATTGAACTATCTCTTTATTTTCTCACACTGAAAATGTTCTGAACACGAAAACTCATAAAGCTTGCAATAGACAGCTCAGGAAGTTGCTAGGATGCATATATATTATTATTATTCTGCTGAAAATCAGAAGGTTTGATAATTGTATTTATATTTCGGCTGGGAAACCTTCACTCGATCCCAATAAAACCAGCCACAAACTTTGGTTTGTTAGGTTAGAACTTTAATCTCAATATTTCCAGATTTTTGTTGCTGTTTTGTCTAATTTTCTGTCCTTTTGCATATTTTCAGACGTGGTGAGTTTCTGTTCATCAAGGAGAATGCTGCAGAAAGCCAACCTTCATTGGGTTCAGATTTCTTCAGTGAAATGAAGAAATGCTGGAAAAAACTGAGTGCTGCAGAGAAGCATGAGTATTACACACGCTGTCTAAAGGTACCAATATAGGACAAAAAAAGAACATAGTTGTTTTGACTTAAAAGTACCCTAAATGTTTTTTTTTGTTGTCATTTTTAGATGAAGCATGAGTATAATGCCAAGCTGAAGGAATATTTAGATGTAAGTTGAGACTTTTCTAGATTTAACAGGAAGAGGCGTTGTGTGACGGTTTGTTTGTTCCTCAGCGCTTTGATGAGACAGAGAAGCAGCGATTCATTGAAGAAAATGATATCAGATTCCTGAAGGCGAAGCCTGGGGTAAGTTGAAATCTAACAGTTTCCTTGTTAATAAACTCAATAAACACTTGATTTACGGATATTTTTAATGTATTATGTTTCACAGTTACTCATGTTATATGCATGCAATCCTAATAAATAAGGTTTAAAAATACAAGAATTAGTTTGAAATATTTCACTTCACATGTAATGGATTTACGTGATATCAGTTTTACTTTTTGAAACAACAAAAATAAATCCCAATAAATTGAAGTTGAAGAGGCGTGAATCCTTCTGTACTGGCTGCTATTGTGCTGAATTTTCACTTCGCGTAAACTCTTGTTTTAGTATGTGAGCAGGAGGATGTCACCCCGTGAGCCCAAGATGCCCAACCAGTGAGTGTATAACCAAAACCTCCGAAATGTTCCCTGAAAAGATTGTTTGACTAATTTAGCTCTGTTTTTCAGAAATCTACTCAGAAACTTTGCCAAATATAAGAAAATGTCTCTTGCCAAATCTGAGAAACTTTGGCAGAAGCTCCCGGTAAAGGAGAAGGAACGTTACAAAGAACAGATGTGTTTGAACTTGAAGCAATACTCAGAAAAACTGCAAGCGTGGTTCAAGGTGTTTAGAAATGTCCATCTTCACTTTGGATTTTACCTCTCAGAACAAATGTTCTGAGAGGTAAATGTATCTATTTTCCATTCTCTGTGCAGGAACTGACCCCAGAAGAGCAAATGAAATATTTGAAACAAAATCCCAAAGTGAGTACTTTGAAATTCACCAACATTTTCAGAGTTGGTTTTCTGGAAATCATGTTCCAACTTGCATTGCAGAAATTGCAGTTCCTCGATGTCCCAAAAAATCTGGTGAACGAGAGAGGAGAGCTATGTTTGAGTCAACCTTCTGTAAGTTATATAAATAAAACGCATGTATTCTATCCAGTTAAAATAATTCTTCTTTTAATCTAAAATGGAAATGAAATGTGGTCATAACGTACATCATCCAATTGAATTCAAATGCAGCACTTTGACTTGTGAGATAAGGAAGAGGTTTCTGACGCTGAGCGGTAATTTTGCTTCCTGTTTGTTTTGGTACTCAGGATTCGGAGGACGAAGACATCACAGAGATCAGCAGTGAAGATGATATTTGGTGCTCTTATGAGGTGACGTCGATGTTTTCTTCCTGTTGAAAATATACTCAGAATAATTGTTCAATTTTTCTAAATGAGTCACTTTGTAGCTGAGAGTGCAATTAAAAAGTAATTTATTCAATTCTATCATTTTCTGGTCCTTAGGATGAGAGTGAAGAGGACTGGAACATGTTGGAGATGCATCGCTGATGGATAGAATCAGAACCTTCACACTGCCACAGGCAAACTTAGATGAACACTTTCAAATCACCTGAAGAAATGCTGCCTGCAAAGTTACATCATTTGTGTGGCAGAGATGCTTCCCAATGTTTACTGGTGCAGTTAATGTAGCTACACCAAGAATATTTTCATAGTTTTAGAGTGCATTCCTGGGAGTAACCATGTTACCAGTTTTGGTTCACCATTTTTTGAATATTGACTGTCGAGAAGGAAAATTACAGTAGAACAGAAACGATCATTTCCTCGTTCATGCTGTGATAATTTTACATTTTCCCAGGGCTGTTTTTTTGTTTTTTAGTTCATTCGGCTCCTGGTTAAAAAGATTTAAACTGTTTAAAATTCAGATTCATCAAGGAGAATTGGGAATGTAATTAATGTAAATTAGAAATTCAGTTGTTGTTTTTGAACATGTTATACTAACGCATGGGACATGACAGGAATGATTTCATTAAAGAAATACTAAAAAATTAATTTGGGATTTGTGGGCTTTTTTTTAAATGAAAAATACAGAACAGGTAAAAATAATTTTGCTGGCAAATTGTATCTTTATTTCAGTTAAAGGCAAATTAAGTGTTTTTGTTTAAGAGGTGTGGAAGTTTTCTTTAAAAACAAAACGGTTTAAAAAATAGAGGTAATTTCTCTTGCAAATTGTATAATACAACTTGTTTATGTTTTACAATTTAGATGCAACTGTGAAAATGAGCTGAATGGATTGTAAATGTAGTTAACTTCAGTCAGTTCATCTGGCTTTTATTTCTTTAAATCATCTTAATGCTATGTTTCATAAATAAATTGCAGTGCATAGTTCAGTAAAGAGTACAACTGAAATATATACTGAGATCCATAGTTTGAAGCAAACATGCACAAAACCAATTGTGCTTTTATTTGTATAAAAAGATCTAATGCTACAGCCTTAGTGGCAGTCCATTTTTAATATAATTTGCCTCCGTATGTTGTAGTAATACACCTAAAAATATTTTCTACATGTTGTAAGTAAATCTACATAAATGCTTTTAATTTAATCAGTGAAAGTTTACAAAATGTTTTATTTCTAACATAGTAAAAACGACCTCCATGACATAAGGTGGTTGAACTATTATATCTCTCTAAAAAGAAACTACATATCTTTAAATATGACGTGCATTAAATTCGTCTGTGGTCGTTAAATTGTTAAAAGGGGAATTTGATTAAAGCAACAGACTGAATGAGCTGGGAATCAATGCAGCTGAGAGACTCCTGATGAGATCGATCGATTGCTTCTGCCTGAGACGGGCGCATATTAAAATACGCATAATTTTAGTTCGGTTTTCCATTAAGCTCCTTAATAGTTTATCTTGTAAATGAAAGAAAAGTAGTAATTGTGTTAGTTGTGTCGCTTTATTTCAAATGAGCAGAACTGGCAAACAAAGTGAAAGCAGAAGAGTAATTATCTGCAGCACAGGAGGCCATCGGTGGAACTCGTGCAGAGAGTGATTGTTTCTGCCTGAACGCTTAGTAAAGATGGATGCCTGTCGAAATAGGTAAATAAACTCAATTAAGGTTTTGCTGGGAGCGCGGCAGCGATGTTCCCCGCCGGGAAGGCTGCATCTGGGGGTTGAGAAGCGGAACTTTGGCAGCCGGAGGTTCTTCCAGGGAGCGCGGAGGCGCACAGCCGCACTGCAGCAACAGCAGTGTTGGCTTCAGGGACGAGCAGCCTAGCTACTGTTGGATGTTCCTCCAACTGCGAAACAATTAAATATATATATATATTATCGCTGTTATATTTGCAACCGCTCGTGTACATCTTCTGCGTTGCAGCCGCATTGGCTGTTGACGCAGCTTCTCCTGTTACCTCCTGGTATTTTCTCTGCCTCCAGCCTATTCATAGCCGCGCTCTTTGTTTTCCTCCAGCTTCAAGCTAAGCTCCTTTCATTGAATGGCAAGACTCGGGGCTGCTGGGAAGTGTCGAGGACTCGCGCCGTGTTTGGGACTCCGCTGACTTTCCTTTTCGTGTTTTGTGTCTGTGTTATCAGGCTGTGAGTGCGGGAAGCAGCCCTCCGCTCCGTTGCGAGTACCTGCATCCCTCTCTCGGTGACCGACGGGCGTCTGTGCTTCCGTCCTGCAGCAGCCCAGCTCTGGCCGACGCCTGCTGCGCTACAGCATGAACACAGCAACGTCTGCTCATCTGGTAGATCTGGCAAATGAAAATGGAGGAGCTTTCGGTGTCCAGCCTGGACAACAGCAAGTTAGAGGTACGGTGGTGGTGGTGGTGGTGACGCATTGTTGCAAACAGGTGTCACCAAAGGCGTTTTCATATCAGACCAAACCTGTGAAAAGGCAAAAAGGAACTTTCTCAAATGATGATTTCATTCATGATTTGAAAGAAAATACTCACCCAAACTGTGATACTAAACACTGCCTGATCCCAAAAACAGCAGATGAGTGCAAGTCTCCCTATTGGATGTTGAAAAGGCATCTTGTGGTTGTTTAAGAAGAGTCAAATCACCAGCATCAAGCAGAGAAAACCTCTAAGGAAAGTACTAAAATTGGGTTGAGAACTGTCCAAATTGTTGTTAACTAGCGAAAGAGGGGAATCGTCATCTCTGAAGAGGAAATGTGGTCAGAAAATAAATCCTGAGTGATCACTGGAAAGTTTGGTGAGGTCAAATCAAAGAAAAACTAAACTAGAACTGTGCTTACTAGTGAAACGAGGAGTGTTTTCACACCTCAATGTACAGAAAACTAAAAGAATTTGGACTGAAAAGTTGTTCAGTCAGTAAGGGTAACTGGAGAAAAATGTTTCAACCTGCAAAGGAGAAAAAAGATTGAACTCTAGAGTAATGGAAGAAGGTCATGTAAAGACTTTTTCACCTCAGACAAGCCACAAAAGTGTACCGCATGTCGTCCCTGGCAGGCAATGGCTCAGGACATCCTGTCTGACCTGGTTGAGGACGCATGTCTGGGTCTTTGCTTTGAGGTCCACCGGGCTGTGAAGCAGGGCTACTTCTTCCTGGATGACATGGACCAAGAAAGCATGAGGGACTTTGGTGAGCACTACCTGTCTTACCTTGCAAAAAGATTATATTACATCACTGAAGAAAAGCAAAACACAAAAATCTGAGTTTGTCAAACAAGCGAACATTCAGATAATAATAACTAATACGCAGATGCACACAAATTTGTGTTGATTCTGTTAAAAATGTCTAAAAACCCGACAATAAATGAATCAGTTCTCCAATATAATCTCATGGTGATTGAGATTATATTTAATTTAAAATCATTTATTCAATGAAAAGACATGCCACATTGAAAAAGAATTGTTCACTAGAAATGTAACTAGAAACATTGATTTTGCCATTCGTGCTTTTCTCTTTATCTGGGGTAAAAATATGACTTTTTCTCTTATCAGTTGTTCAAAATAGGAATGACAAGAAAACATGTCCTGCGTGTAATACAGATGTCTCTTAAACTTTATAAATTATTATTATCTGAAGTTAGAGCACTAATAAAACTGAACGAGGATCCAAGAATTAATTTTTTACAGTTCACAGATTTAAGAGTTTTAGATTTATTGTTGACAGAAATGATAAAAACTGTGATTGATTTGGAAAATCTGCATTATTTTTCTTTTCCTCACTGACTAAATCTTCTCTGATTAAATGCAGAATTTTCCCCAAGGTATTTAGTTTGAGATTTGATGGCAGATTTATTCAAGGTTCTTGATTTGAATCGCTTTCAGAAATTGTGGACCAGCCTGGACTGGACGTGTTCGGCCAAGTGTACAACCAGTGGAAAAACAAAGAGTGTGTTTGTCCCAACTGCAACCGGAGCATTGCGGCGTCTCGCTTCGCGCCGCACCTGGAGAAATGCCTGGGAATGGGACGCAACAGCAGCCGCATAGCTAACCGCAGGTTCGAAGGCAAACAGGAAGCGCAGACCAGCATCGGCTCAGATGTTCACATTGTGTTTATCTCCTATTCCACTCCATTCTGATTGGTTCCCCCAATCAGAATCAACTTCATGGTTTCTTACTGGAATCTGTTTTGTGTTATTTCTCATGAGTAATGCTGTTACATCTCACTGTTTTACAGAATAGTTACTGGTAACAACACCAACAATAAGTCGGAGAGTGACCAAGAAGATAACGACGACGTCAACGATAACGACTGGTCCTACGGGGCAGAAAAGAAAGGTGAAGCTTTGGACTTCCTTCGTGTTCCTCGAAAACTGATTCACTGCAGATTTTCTGTTTTTCCTTATCTGTTTTTTTATTTTACAGCAAAGAAAAGAAAGTCGGATAAGGTGCTTTTATTTTACCCTTAAATACATATTGTTTTTAATCATCTGTTTTATTCATGAAAGTGTTCAGAATTTTTGTCCTGACTTCTTAACCCAAACCAAATATTAGCCCTAATTTTTTCTTCTTTTTTTGCTCCTCAGAATCCAAATTCACCAAGAAGATCCAAATCATTCAAGCATAAAAGCAGTAAGTAAACTTATCTTTGTTATTATTATTATCATTAATTGATAGCATTTGGTTGTTTTGGAACATTAATCTAAATACCAGATATGCTTTTAAGACTCTCGGTTAAAGACCTTAACACTTTAGCTTTGTGAAAAAAATCTATAATCATTGATGTAAACTGAAGTTTACATGTGTGAAGAAGTCTGTAAGGTAGTTTACAATAAAGTATTTACTTATATTATCCAGATTTTGAGAAGAATTGTAATAGAAATCATGTGGAAGAAATAAGGTTTTGATATTTTATTTTCTATTCCCATTCCCTGAAAGTTATATAAGTCTATTCATCAGTCCATTTATTTATTCATCCATCTGTACCTGTCGCCTCCCATCTATTTGTCTGTTCATCTATTCTTCCATTTCTCCATCTTTCCAATCGCTTTTTGTCCGTTCATCCATTTTTGCAATTACCATTCAATGAATCTTGCCATCTGTCCATTTCTTGAAAGTCCACAGTGTTGACATTTTCCTCAGACCACTGCTGAAAAATCTGCACCTTTTTTCTTCAGAAGGGCACAGAAACATGAGCATTAGATTCTGCAGAAGCCTTGACATTTTGACCTGAAAAATGTGTTTCAACAAAATGTTGAAAGCAGTGAAATTTCCAACAGCTCTGCCTTTTTCCCACCTTTTCCCAGGTACAGCCAGTAAGACCAATCAAGACAATGAAGCTCATGCGCCGCCCAAAGACTCGTACATTGCCTCTTCGAGGCCTGTGGGTAGGGACAGGGGTAAACCTTTCATATGGGTTTGGAGCTGATTGACCATGTAGGATCTACTTGTCTTTATGTTTTATTTTTTTCTCCTAATATCATGTAATAGAAAAGAGTTTGTGCATGTTGACTCTTAAGAGTTCACAGTGTATGCTGTGTTTCAGGAGTGACTCTTTGCTTTTTATTTCTGCACAGGCATGATGGGTCCCAGACGGCGGATGGAAAACCAGGAGAGTCCCCGCATGCTGATGAAAGAC